ATTCGGGAGATTAACTAAAGCGTTGACCCTCAGTTGTTGGGGCGTTTATTGCCATTTTATTGGTCCTTCTCTCCCCTCCCTCGTGCTCCTACCTTCTGCTTCTACACGCAGCTGAAGATGAGCCGGCGCACTGGTCAAGCCCCCCAAGTGCTTCTCTCTCCCCTCTCCTGCCATTTACCATGCAATTTCTTTGGGGCTCGGCTTCTAGCTACCAGCTTCTTGCTAAGAGCTGCTGGTGACCTTCATTTACATCATTAGCAAGGTCTTTGTCAGTGAAAAAGAAAGATATTAAATCAATCAAGCAATAGGCAAACCATCCAACTGGAGGTAAACTGGAAATTGGCTGAGGAGAGTCTGAAACATGCAGGAAGAGTTCGATTTGAGTCTAAATATGTATCGATAAAAGAAAAATAGCGATAGTTAAAAACACCTAGCTAAGGTTAGCTGAGGCTGAATGGGAAAGAATTAATTTAAAGAACACCAAGAAAAAGCGGACCTCGGGAGCATAGGTTCTCTGCGTAAATTGGTGAGTCACCATAATTTAGGCAGTAAACGAATGCCTGTGGGATGAGGTTAACTCAGCGTTTTCAGGTTGCTGAAGACCTTAAACTGCACGGGTTCAGCTGAGAGGAGTAGGCCAGGGGTTCACTGCGCACTCAGCCCCGGGGTGAAGGGCTCACGTGTCCCTGCTCATGTGGTCTCTGCTGCTTGGGGTCTTCTCTAGCATTTGCTGAGTGGGGGCTAGAGCTCCAGAAGGTCTGGTTGAGAGGTTTTGGGTTGAAAAGTAAGTTTCTTCATTGCTAAAATAAAGGGGTTGGAAGAGTTGAGATCAAATACCTTCCACCTCCAAGAACCTATAAAATCTAGAGGCTGAGTGCTGCCCAGAGTCACTCAGCTGGTCTCTGCCAGACTTGGAAAGGGGACTTGGTTCCCAGGGTTCTCATTATGGCTGGAAGTCAATTCTGTATTTTAAAAAATTCAGTTAGCTCAGCTGTTGACACAATGGAAATAAATAGCCATCTTACCGAGTTGGATTTTTTTCTATTTCATTCAGTTTCCATTTCGAGTAAACATAACCTGAAGAAGGATATCACCAGCCAGGGAAGGAGCAAAGCCTGAACACGATCATGCTTGGAGCTAGCTGCCTCGCTCAGCAGAGCACAACCAACCCAGCCTTAGTGCTGGACAGGAAACAACAGATGCCATGCTTTCAACATTCAGACTTGTGCAAAGGTGACCTGAAACGGAACCCGACCAAGAAAAGCGAAATGCCCATATATGGCAGCAAAGAACCCTAACTAACTAGAAATCACTGATGGACTTGAAAATATTTATCTTGAGCCCATGGCTCCTGTGGCCGCCAAGGGACTCCTACATGTCCCTGGGCTGCGAGAGTGCAGTGTGAACTCTTCCAGTGATGACTGCAGCCTGGTCACCTCCTACCCCGGTGATGGAGCATCTCCCACTGCACATCTGCTGGGGCTCTGATCCGCCGTCTACACCAGAGATTCCAAATCTGAGACCTACTTTTGTTTCATCTTTTTCAAAAAATAGGTCAACACCATATATTAAATTTTTTCTTCTTCTTCCATACTATACGCAAAATAAAACAGATAAAAACTAGGAAAAATATTTGTAACTTAAATTCCAGGAAAAGGGTTATTATCCCTAACATATTGAGAGCATCTAAAGCTTGGAAAGTAAAAGACCAATAGCACCACGGAGAAAGGGCATCTTATAAACAATTGGTTTTTAGGGGGAAAATGCATATGCCCCCTAACATCTGAACAAATGCTCATGATAAGGTATGTGCTCAGTCAAGCCATATGGAAATACAAATCCTTGCCTGCTATATGCGCAAATAGCCAAAACTGTGACAGAATTCCCATCGGCAAGGCTCTGAGAACGGGTCCTGCAATACGCTGCTGGTGTGAATGCAATGTGGTACAAACTGTGGAGAGAACTTGACATCTAGGAAAATGACAAATGCATTTACCTTTTAACCTGTTTCTGAAATCTGTTCCAAAGAAACACTGGCAAACGTAAAAAGCTATTAATTGCAACGCCATTCATAATCACAAAAGACAAGAAGGAACCCAAATGGCCTTCAACAGATGGCTGGGGGGTAAACTGTGGAGTTCTCTGCAGCTATGAGGACAGGAGCATCCAGGTGAGGAGGTAGCATGGCCTAGAGTGTGTGCATGTTTCTGTATTTGCTCAGACTTATAATTAGAAGGAAAAACTGAAAACCAGCCAAAACGGTTGAAAAATTAGAGTAGGGGGGACAGGATAGAAGCTAGATTTTTTTTCCCCCCTCTGGTTTTCATTTTGGAACTTTGTAGAGATTTAATCTGATTTTAAAACAAAATGTAAAAGCAAAATGAAACAAATGAACATTTTGTTTATTAACTTGTGACTTAACCACACACAGGAATTCTTTTAAAAGCTATTAAAACAGGATAGTTTTTAACTATTTAACCCCAGTGGATTATATCCAAAAGTTTAGTAAAAACACCAGTGAAATCTTAAGCAGTTTATAATAATATTTTAGTAATAATAAGGTTTATTAATAATATTTATTATAATTTTGAATATATATTTTAAGCAAGTTAGAAATTTTAATAATATAATAGGAAGAAGAAAAGTAGCAGAGAAAAATGAAAATGCAAACAAAAATTCAAGGCAGTTAAGTAAATTTGAATTGAAAATATTAATGTGAATTTATAATATGATTTCTCCTTCAAAACAAAAATATCTAGAAAAATCCAATTTGGTTGCAATGAAAACCCCTAGTACCCAAATTTTGGTCTAAATACAGGGGTGGACAAAAGTAGACTTACAGTTGTGAATACACAAAATACAGAGTTTATTCTTATATTCTTATTAATTATTCTATTATTTTCCATCTGAATAGCTGTAAACCTACTTTGCGCACCCTGTATACTTTCCTTTTAGAAATAACCAAGGCTTCTTGGGGAAATGGCTGGTTCTAAGTGAGGGCAGAGAACACACACAAGACAAGGTTGAAACATCCAGTCCTACCACAAACCAAGAAACCTGTGAAGGCCCAGTGGGGTCATGACAGAAAGACAGGGGAGAAACGGAGGGGCCTCCCGGTGTCAAAGACAGGAAAGTGTGACCATTGGAGAGGATAATGACAGCAATGGGGTGAAACTCACCAACTCTGTTAAACCCAAGTGTTGATACAAGAATTTCCTTAGTCATATATGGAGGGTGCTGGGAAACAACTCATTATTCTGAAAATTAGTAAATCAATGGAAAGCATCGTTCACTTACCCTGCTCTTTTGCTCAAATATCATGGGTTCATATCAATGGTTAATCACAAAAATTGCTCCTTTATCGGAGACTGCCAGCTAGTACATGCGGAAGGTAGGACAGAGCTAGGATAGCCCCAGTGCATACGCCCCGGTCAGTCTGGGACGAGCAGTGACCATCAATGAGACCTGGAGCCACCGGCTACCTGGGCTTTACGTGGAGAGCTTCTCAAGCTTCCACGTGCATGTCACTCACGTGGGGCTCTGGTTGAATTCTGGGACCGGGTTCAGTAGGGCTGGGGTTGAGCCTGAGACGCTGCCTTTATAACAGGCCACCACGCGGTGCCAAAGCTGCTGCTGAGAGGGAGAAGCCCCTGCCCCTGGGCGCTGGCCTGGCACTCTCCGCCGGGCTGGGTGCTCTCCTGTTGAACAGGGCAGCTCCACAAAGCAACAGCTCAAGGTCACCGGTGACCACGATGGATTATACAAAAATAAGACTGCTCTGTAATCACCTGAAACACGAGGAGGGAACACTGTCCAAAGCCCTCCCTGACCAGCTCCCTCCGCTCCCCAGCTGCAGCTCCAGGCGCAATCCAGGCCTCCTTCCTTCTAGGTAAGATTTCCTGAAATGCCAGCTGCCTCCGGCCCGGGGGCATCCAGCCCAGAGGAAGACCCAAAGCCACCATGCGTGAGCCCAAGTCCTGTGACAAGCTCCTTCCAACACCCCGAGACACTCTCAGTACGCCGTGTAGTAAGCACACCCTGCCCGCTACAGGCGCGGCCTGTGGCCTCTGCGGGAGCCTCAGCTCAGTGGTGCGAGGACCCGTCTGACCGCCCAGCCACAGTCACCGCTGCTTCCCAGCCACAGTCACCGCTGCTTCCCAGCCACAGTCACCGCTGCTTCCCAGCCATAGTCACCGCTGCTTCCCGATATGACCCAGCCCAGCCCCGCTGCAAAGTGTTCTTGCCAAAAAATAAACGATAAATCTGAACCTGATTAAGTCTCTAGATGTAACCATTAGTTTACAAGAAATACGGGGGACAGAGGAACAAATAAGGAACCATATTCAGTTCAACCACAAGGTAAATTGCTTTTTCCCCCCAACAAATTAATGGCCAGAAAAAAAAAAGAAGATGGGGGAACATATAGATAAAAAGAGACCCAACAGACATCGATCAATTGTAATGTGCATCCCTTATTTGGGTCTAATTTGTACAAACTGCTACACAAACTAGTAATGGTAATGACAAAGGAGGAGGTACAGGTGCATGTGGCTGAGAATGCTGGCCGCATTTGATAACTGCTGACGGGTAGTAAACAATTATTTTTATTCCCCATAGTCTTAATATGTTTGAAAAGTGCCATAGCAAATAATTTTTACCATTTAATTCAATAAATCAGCTTTGAAAAAAAGACGTAAAAAAAAAAAAATTAAGGACTGTAGCTCAAAATGGTTACATATTCTAGAAAAATAAACTACAATAAATTTTCAAGCGTGTTTCTGACAACTGAAGTTGCTTTCAGATCCGTTTATTGAGCTATTAAAATAGTCACCTGTTTCTTTTATTTTCTTTCTTTCTTTTTTTTGTAACCACTAACAATATGTCAACTGCAAGTGAACAGGAATAAGAAATTACTATGTAGACTTGGATGATGGTCTTAGAAAAACATTTAATTTAAATGTTTGAATCTTCAGAAGGAAACATGTTGTTTGAGTAATTACCTGGGTCTGTGGCCGACATCAGTGAACCAAAAAACAAGCAGTCAGTGAAATGGAAGTCCTCGTTTCCCAGCTGGCCGGCGTGCACCATGGCTTTCACAAAGCCGTACACAATGACCCTGTTGAAGAGAAATGAGATTTCAAGCACCAGGCCGAATCCTGCGCAGACACGTGCCACCACAGCTGACATTCACCCCGCTTCCGGAACACGCACCATGCGCCAGGGACACCGCACTGCCACCCACGGCCAAGCTCGCTGCCAGGGCACGGTCTAAACCTCCTGTCCCTGAAAGACACTGGTCCCAAATGTCACCTGGAAAAAGGTAGCAGGACATTTCACAGTGTATTTTAATGAAAGCGAGATAAATCTAAAGGACATGAAAAGAATCTGTTAAACACAGCAGAGCAAATCACGCTCACAAACATAGCGCTGGGTTGACGCAGGTAAATAGGTTGCTTTCCAGCTTTCATGGTTTTGTCTGCTACGGTGTCTGAAAGGGTTTACGTTTCTAGTCTGTCACTGCGATGAGAAGGCTACTGGCCACTCACAGGGCAGGCAGTCGACCAGCTACTTTACAGCAGAGTCTCTGCTACCGAGGTGCCAGGTCACCCGGGTGGGCTGAGCGTCACTGGGGGGCAGAGTGCCCGTCGGTGAGCACACTGCTGGAAACGAACCTGGAATGCTTACGTTTCGGTCTTGCAATGAGAGCTGTTGTTTTTTTCATGAAATTATAAGGTTTATACACTTACCCAGCCTACTCCATGGAATNATGCTTACGTTTCGGTCTTGCAATGAGAGCTGTTGTTCTTTCATGAAATTATAAGGTTTATACACTTACCCAGCCTACTCCATGGAATGCAAATTGCCTGCTTTGGTGGTCATTTGCCTCTATTGCTTTTAAACTGTACTTAATTATTTAGCTGACTGACGGACTTTGCTAAAATCCTAGTAGAGGAAATACAGAGATTGGTAGACTGGACAACAGTCAGATCACTACCAGTGACAGTAAGAGACCTTAGAACCTCCAGACCCTTGGACCAGTGTTTAAATATTCACATGTATTTAGAGTTAGTTTCTTAAAAAATGTGCTAAGCTTGCAAGCATGGCTAAAAAGGCGAGAAAACAGATATTGGAAATTATAATGTCAAAGAGAATGCAGATGTTTCAAATTCTGTTAAGAAAAATTTCTGAGAGAATATTTCAGGTACAATTGCACTTAAAACCAGGCTCTACCACTCACTAGCTATATGATTTTAGGGCGCTACTGAAACTTCCTGAGCTTCAGTGTCCTTACGCACGCGGTAGGGGTAACTGTAAGAGAGCCCTTGAGGCTGGTTTACCCTGGGGAGGGTCTGCCGGCTACCAGGGTGTGCGGCCTTCTGACAAGTACCAGGCAGCTTCATTCAGCTTATTTGTTCATTCAATAGACATTAGGCATTTATCACTAAACCCCCTACTATGTGTCAGGCTCATTCCTAGGTGCTTAAGATACATCAGTAAATAAACAAAGACCCCTGCATGCATTTTAGCAAGACAGTAATAAAAATCATCATAAATTTGAATTTTATGTTACCCACATCACTCTTTGAATTGGAACCTACAGGTCCGATCGATGCTGGGAAGTTTGGACACTCACAATGTTGCCACGGGGATGCTTTCAGACAGTCATCCCTCATCCTCGGCTGTGTTAGCCCTGATTCACCACAGCCCTTCTCACGTTAGCTACTCTTCAAGTGCTGAGCAGACTCTGGGGTTAATATAAACTTTATGACCTATGACTACCTTTCTGAATTCTATACCCATTAGTTAATTTTACAGGTTAGGAACGTGAGGCTTGGAATTAAAATAACTTGCTCCATATTGAATAGAAGCCTTTAGACTGGGTAGGATAAAAAAAATACATGCAATACACTACCCAGGCTTGGCAAGGTTATATGGAAACTAAAAGCTTCATATACTATTGATGTAAATTAATGGTTTCTTGTCAATTTATACCAAAAAGCAATCAAATATGAGCCAAAAGATGTGTGTTCATATTACTTCTAATTATTATTATTTATGAGTAAAAAATTCTAAGCAACCTAAATGTCCAGGAATTAATTACAGAACACATATATGATGACTAATATGCAACTACTAATACAGTAGAAACTGGTAATAAATAATAATTCTAATTTTATAAAAATTAAATATACTTAGGCATACATATAAATAGAAAAAGACCAGAAGCATATAGTCTAGGATATAATAGTGGTTATATAATGAAATTAAATGTGACTATTTTCTTTTTGGTTTTCTGCATTTTTTCCAATTCTTTTTAGATACTAGTCATAATAACAATGTACATTAGTAAGTGCTATTATGTGACACAATACACATTCATTGTGTCATTTAATCCTCAGAATGTTATGAGTTAATTATCCCTTTTACAAATGAGAAAATTAAGACTCAGAGAGCTAACTTGTTTAAGTTAGTGATAGAGCTGGATTCGAATCCATACAGTTGGTTGCCAAAACCTACACTATTAACCACCAACTCTATAAGCCTCTTTTATTGCTTTGAAATCAGGAGAAACACTTGGGCATGTACACAAACACTCATGCACACAGTTTTATTTATTTATTTATTTATTTATTTATTTATTTATTTATTTATTTGTATATTTTTAAAAATATATCTTTATTGATTTCAGAGAGAGGAAAGGAGAGGGAGAGAGAGAGATAGAAACATCAATGATGAGAGAGCCACTGATCAAGCCCACAACCCAGGCATGTGCCCTGACTGGGAATCAAACCCCGATTGCCTGGATCCTTGGTCGACGCTCAACCGCTGAGCCATGCCCGGCCATGCTCACAGTTTGTTTGTTTTTTCAAAAAAAGAAAGTATAAGACTCATTTAAGTAAACTCCTGGACATAAAATAACTATAGTTCAAATAGCTTCCTTAAGATAACACCAAAAAATATATATAAAAAATAAAGCCCAGTTAGTAAAAAGCTCAATATGGTCATTGTTAACAATGGTCATTATCACTGAAAATTATAATAAGCCAATAATTAGTGTGCATTTTCTATGCCCAGACACTCTTATAAATTGTAGCTATTGTCATTGTTGCTACATTATTATTAATAAAAACTAGTTATAACTATATCATTTAGAAGACTAAAAAATGAACCCATTAAGGAGCTCTGGTCAAGATGGCAGAATAGATGGACACTGTGCTCACCTCCTCCCATGACCACCTCAAAATTATAACTTAATTATAGAATAATTGGCCTGGATGACCATCTGAAGACTAGCTGAACAGAAGTCCTGTAACTAAGAATATAAAGAAGAGGCCACATCAAGACTGGTAGGAGGGGCAGAGATATGAAATAGGTTGGTCCCACACCTCCATGTGGTAGCTAAGAATTAGGAGGGATTTCTCAGATGCGGAGGCCCCCACACCAATGCCGGGAAAAGGGGCCCAAAAAACATCTGGCTATTAAAACCAGCAAGGATTCCATCTGTCCAGGTGAGACGGAAGTCTGTTAGAAACCCAAGCATCCTCTTAAAGGGCCTGCTCATAGACTCTTGCTCTCAGGCACTCACCCTGGGTTTTAGTGGAGAGACAGTGGCTTGGGGGCACCAGAGACATACAGGGAGAAACTGAGTTGTCTGGCTTCAGGGTGAGGGCTGCAGGGATGGCTGCCATAGTCCCTGAGTTGAGCCTTCCATCCTCACAACCAAATTCGAATCTACATTCTTCTGGTGAACACCACTAGCTCCAACCTGCAACTACTGAGACCCTACCCTGCCACAAAGGTTCACAGGCCCCTGGCAGGTGTCTGCTGGACTCAGTGTAAACTGTGACTTTCAATGAGTGGCCTCAGACTCAGCACTGGCACCAAATCTGAATCTGCATTAACCTAGTGAACACTATTCACTCCACCTTGGTGACTCCCTGAGAGCTTGCCTCCCCTAACTCATGCACCACCTGAGGATCTTTCAGTAGCTGAGTTATGCAGGCAGCAGGCAAGAGGTAGCAGGTCTCAGGGAGCCCTGTGCCTTTTGCTGACATGCCCCAGGCCCGATATTAGTGGCAGCTGGCCTTGAATCCCAGCATGGCTTTCTCATGCACATCCAGGTCCAGCACAGGCAGCTACCAACTGTGCATGGCTTTGTAGCTCCTAACAGGTAGTCTTGGGTTAATCAAAGGCAGCATCTGCCATTAGCCTGCAATGAAGCCCCTCTCAAAAAGCTTCAGAACCAAAACACCTGGTGGCCAGCTTAAAGCCACAATAGAATAACACCCAATTAGCTCCACTAGAAGTATACCCAAAGGGTGGTCTCAGCACAATCCAGAACCTGCTGGGGTGAATCCCACTCCATGGAGTCAGCCTCCACACAGAAGCTTGTACACTGTGGTTGTGGCCAATTCTCAAAGCCAGTCCGCCTGAGGGTTAATCCAATACACTGCCATGCTAACAGCAATCAAGGCTCAGCTAAAGCAGAAGAGTAAACACAACCCACACAAGGGATACTCATGGAGCACCTGACTTAGGTGATCAGGAAGACTGTGCCACTGGGCCCCACGGGATACCTACTACAAAAAGCCACACTTCTATGACTAGGAGACAAAGCAGATCTACGTACTATATAGAAACACACACAACAAGGGAACCCAAATGAGGAGATAAAGAAACATGCCCCAAATAAAAAAACAGGAAATATTCTGAAACAGAACTAAGTGAAATGAAGGAAAGCAATCTACCAGAAACAGAGTTCAAAACACTGGTTATAAAGATGTTCCACAAATTTAGTGAGAACTTCAACAAAGAGATACTAAGCATAAAAAAGTACATAGAAACCATAAATAGAACCAGTCTGAAATGAAAAATACAGTAACTGAAATGAAGAATACACCAGAAGGAATGAACAGCAGGTTAGATGATGCAGAGGATAGAGTCAGTAGTTTGGAAGACAAGGTAACAGGAACATCCAACCAAAACAGCAAAAATAGAAGAAGAAAATGAAGATAGTTTAAGGGACCTTTGGGACAATAGTCACATCATAGTGGTGCCAAAATAGAGGGGGTGAGAGAGAGAGAGAGAAAGCAATTGAGAACCTATTAAAAAATA